TCTCCATAACTTTAATTGAAAAAGTATAGTATAGATAGTTTGATAGGAAGTATGTCTTACTTACACCCACTGCTCACACATTAGAAGAGTCTCATAAACTTGAACGTATTACGAATGCTAACGATGCTGAAAGCGCAGCACTGACGAGTACTCAATTTTGCTACACTTATAAGGATTACTAATCCCAACACCAATTAAGAGTTACATAACTTCAGTTAAACATACATAACGTAAGAAACAGTTCTTCTGGCAAATGCAACATATATATGTATATTCCGTTAGGCTTCTTCGGTTTCATGTATGTTATCAATTGAAAAACCATTAGAATTCCTCTCAAAAATGGTCTAAAAATATGATACACACTTGAAAACTCCATTAATAGTTTTCATCATTAAGTCGAAAGTGTTAATGATATATATATTTTCATATAAAATACAGAGAATAGCTTTATTTTACCTAGAAAGTATTTGTACACCAGTGCAGTTCTCAATCGTTTTTGTCAATAAAACATTCAAACTCTTACTGTAAATTAATACAATATGATAAAGGAGGAGAATCTATGAACATTTGCTTGATCATTTTGGGTGATGAAATTTATTTCCTAAAAAAGTTACAGCCCACTTTGTTCATCTTTAGTTCATAGTAGTATTTCTTCATGCAGTAGTTAAATTACGACAATTATCCTTTGTAACATCATAGTCATGTCTCCAACGTAAATACATGAATTTACGTAGGCACATGTAATGCAGTAAGAAAACTCCATTTATCCTTTATTAACACATTCTCACAACTCTGTGTTTGAAAGATCATCGATTACTTTTAGTTAGAGGCATAGATAACCTAATCTTAAGACATACGGTAAGTATATCCAGAAGTGTTTAAGTTCACACAAAGTCAAATTAATTCATTGATGGTATCAATATCACTTAAACGTGATCTTTTCATCCGGTGATTAACTTATCATCACTCACGTATCTAAGTTTCTCGCTATAATGATATTGTCGTGAATTTTCATGTTTAATAATCATTCCTATTTCTCAGAATTATTAAAATCAATCTTCTACCATCACTTTCGATACTTGATTTTATCTGTCTAATCTAAAATCAACAATTATCGCATTTATCGCGTTCAAAAAGAAGACAGTTATTAGTTATATTATTCAGACCGATCGATTTGTCAATATTGAAGTCAATAAAATTTAATAAAATGCTATGAATGTTAGTGAATGATGCATAACTTTTGAATCGTATTTACTGAAAGCAAAAAGGGTCTTCTGTTTTTGTGTTACGTGTTGAACCTATATGTTTTTTCATGCGATCCTCAGAACAGACAATGTTAACAATATTAATAATACGAGTCTTGGTATTTATAAGAAACATATTGATACATCTTAGGTGTAATATTTCATTAAGCTAGCTGTTTAAAGAACGCAATATATCCTCGTCGACTTCTTTGAATTTATTTGAAAAAAACTACTAGACCTGTGTTGGTTATTTGCTGCATTAACAAAATGTTACACATGCACGTCAACACATCATTTGATATGCTTGAATGCTTACGAGTTCACCTTAGTCGAAAAACGAGAGCGATGGTCGAGGATCCGGCGATACGACATGCTACTCTAATCCGATTGTCCTAAACCGCCATTGAATAAAAGAAGACTTGATATGAAGTGAAGTAGAACGTGTATTCTACAATCATCCAGAGAGTAGGAGGTTTGAGTCCAGAAAGGAATAAGAATCCCGGACTAGGGATCCGGGTCTGGGTCCGGGTCATAAAACGTTACAGATAATGCGTATTTATACAGTTAGGTAAAATAGGAACTTACATTGAAGTACGTGAAATTGACAGCTAGGATGACCATAGTAATGACTAATAGGAATTGACCAATAGGATTAGATTTTAAAAAATAATTCTCTTAGGATATTTGATGAATATCCCAACACAAAGATATTTAGATATTAGTCATTCACATAAGATTACAACTACTAATTTTATTTACAGCTGACCATCAATAGTGTATATGAATTTTAAGCTCTTGATAATCAATAAACAGAATTAATTCAGTGTGCTAGGCTTAGCTTACTAACTTTAGCTGTACATCTAGTCTTGATCAAACCATAGTCAGGTGGATAGTGTTCAAGATTAAAACTTATCTGCACTTTGTTGCCAAGCCTTATTGGAATCTCGTAAATTTATACTCCGTTAATAAACTTCAAATAAGTTTCCCAAGTTCTAATGAAAATTGTAATGAATTTATTGGTACGTCTGTTGACAAACATAAATATCATGTATTCAATGTTATCGCCATTGTGATGTACAAATAACCATCATAGTGCATCTTGCCAATAAATACATCTAAATAATATTTCCCGATAACAATTATTAGAAGGTACATACTTCTAATTTGTTGTAATGATAAATTTGCGCTTTCTCAATTTTATTGATTGAAATTTTTGCTATAATTTCCATCCTCTATCGGCGGCTTGATTTTACATCCTTTACGCTGATTTGTTTTATTTCAGAACTGACTGAATAGCAGCTACACAATACGTCTGAATAATCAATAATGTAAAAATGAACCATTCGGATAGCTGTCTTATTTTCCGATATATGAGTTGCATATTATAGCTAGTCACTTGTTGTATTGATTTATCTAAATACATTTTCTAATTAATAAAATATTCATTATGTACTTTGATTTCAACCATTATTGTACACATAAGTAATTTTCACATATATATTAACTTGCCCTGAAGTTATATCATTAATAAGTAGAAAGCAAGAATCAATTTGTTTTAATGTATGATATTTAATAAATCCTGTCGGAATTATTTATCTTAAAAAAAGAAAATGATTAACTAGAAAGAAAAATGAATTCAAATCACTCAATTAGTTTCAGTGTAATTCAGTGTAAAAATAAAATGTTTTGATTTTACTCTTAATATTTCTGTAGTTTAAAAATCCCTATTGAATTCGCAAAAACAAAGAATAATTGAACAAACAACTATTTTTATCGATTTCGTCATTAGGCTCTGTATTGTAAGTCTTTGATATAATTATGTTATTTAACAAAGGCCAAAATAAAACATGTTAGCGCATTAAACTAGGTTTGACGTTAAAAATAGTAAGTGTGTTTATAAATTAGAAAAGTCAGAATGATTTGTTGTAAGTTATTAAGTATTATCATCGATGCAGTAGCAATGAAAACAACTGAAAAGAATTCACCACTCTGTATCATGTTCATCGACTATGAAAATGCATGTGGACAGGACAGCACTACAGAGGCTTTTTCGACACTACAGCGTGCTTAAGAAGATAGTCAACAGCATACGGAATGTATATGATGGACAGCATTGTAAAATTGTGCACGGAGGACTGCTCACAGACTCGTTCCAAGTGGAAATCAGTTTTAGATAATGTTGCTTACTCACATGCTTTCTCCTTCTCGTGGTGAACAACTGGATTATGAAGTCGTCGACACCTGAGGGTAAGCATGAAATACAACGGACAACTAGGATGCAGCTGGAAAACCTGGACTTGGAAGACGACCTAGATCCTCTACTGCACACGCGACGACAAATGCAAGAGAAGACGACCAGTACAGCAGCAGCCTGAGCAACAGGTCTCAATATACACAAAAGGAAAAGCAAGATTCTCCGATACAACACAGCATGCACCAACCAAATCACTCTTGATGGAGATGCTTTGGAAGATAGAAAAGCCTTTTCACATCTGAGCAACATCATTGACGAGGAAGGTAGATGTGAAGCAGATGTAAAGGCGAGGATCAGCAAAGCAAGTGTTGCATTTCTAACACTGAACAACATCTGGAACTCAAAACAAATATAAATCAACACCAAAACCAGAATTTTCAATGCAAATGCAAAGACACTCCTACTGTATGGGGTAGAAACTTGTGGAACTACCAAAGCTATCATCTAGTTGTCTACAAAAAATTCTGAGGATCCGTTGACCAAACATCATCACCCCAAACCAGATTCCGGTGGAGGAAGAAAGCAGCGAGAAGCGCTGGAAGTTGATTGAACACACATTGAGGAAAGCACTCAACTGTGTCCCAAGACAAGCCCTCAATTAGAATCCTCTAGGCCAAGGAACAATATTATACCGAGAAATGGAGACATGCATGAGAAGAATAAACAACAGTTGGACAGCATTAGGAAGGGAGGTCCGAGACAGAGAGTGTTGGAGAATACTGGTCGGTGGCTTACTGCTTTGGACGTCATAGGCGAAAGTAAGTAATTAACTAAAATAAACTGTATGAATAAAATGCTTGGTCGTCTCGTTAATAAGGAAAACAACTGTAACAATAATAGTAATAATAATAACCTCGTGTGAATATGATATGCAGTAAGAGAGGTTCTGTCAAGCTAATTGTGATGTAGACGAAGAAAGATATAAACACAAAAGCAATTGAATAAGAGTAAAGGATTAGCAATATCTAGTTTAGGTATTAGGTGATCATTGTTTCGACCGATGTTAAATAACACAATTATTATGAACTGTAAAGTATGATGACCAAGTTATTGAAAACAGTTTTCCCCTCAATTACACTTTACTTTTACAAATAATAAACAGTAATACTATCGGCACATCCTTAACACTGTTCAATGTTTTGTAGTTTTCACATGTTTTTATGCTTACTATACATACACACTGCCACGCATTCGCATGTACATTTTTTTTATTTAAGTAGGCGTTTCCTTTTTGTAAAAATATTTTCAGAAAAAAATATATATATATTAAAATTGTTCATCAAATGTCACAAGACTGGTGGTAAGCAGGGATTAAGATTGATAATTATTTTCGCCACGTCGTATCATAAGCTTAACTCTGTGATCATATTGATTTTCGTGAATAGAAAGCTACTCTCAATGCAAAGAATTTTAAAAAAAAATCATTTTACTTATAGAAAAACTAATTCTAGCTACTAATACGATAATATATATATATATATATCTTCGGAGCAATGACTAGTCGACTTACTAAAAATCCCAACTATACAAATGTACAACTCAAATGCTAAGAATGATTTCATTAAAATATTTATGAATTATTCTTTATTTGTTTTCGTGTGTTTGGTGTGTGTGTGTGTAGGTGTGTTTAATACTTACTTACTTACTTACTAAATGATCATACTAAAATTTCTATTAGGTGTGAGTGAACATGCAAATCAAAATCTGAATTGAAGATGATGATGAGCGTTTTTAAACGACAGAAAAAAAAAGAAAAAAAATGAACAAATGATCAATATGAAATTCGGAAACCATCATTTCAAAATTTTCTTGTTTTAATAAAAATGAAATAAATAAATTTGGTTTTTTTTTTCTATGAAGTAAGAATCTCTTCATCCAAAAAAAGACAAAACAATTGGAAACTGTACAATAATTCCTTTTTACTTATTATTTTTCCAAATGAAATCAATTGTAATGCTAATAATAAATTGTAATTGTTGTTTGTGTTTTTTTTTAGAAAATCAAAAACCAATTCAATTTTAAATGAATGCGCACTTTAAATTGGATTGGTGAAGGAGAAACAAAATGAAAAGGGATTTTCGAAATTGTCAACTAATATCTACTTTCATGTTAGATTGTAAAAATTCATTGTGAGTGATTGATTTTTTTTTCTTACTGAGAAAAAATGAATAAACTGAATAACCCACAAAAAAAACGCCAGAAGAAAAGAGGTAAACGTGTAAAAACATGAAACATTCAAATTGATTTCTATGATTAATTATAACTTTGTATTACGTACAATATTCGATTGAGCTTGTTTAGTTGCATCGATTACCGATGGTTTTGGTGATTTTTGATCGGGTTTTTGTGATTTTTTATTGGATATATTACTTGATTGGATTGAAGTAGGTACAGGAGACTGTTTAGGATTAGTACGTTCTATTAATACTTGTGAAGTTTGAGTATCTTGACGTAATAAATAAGGTGCAGTAAGTGGCATTAAAATTGCACCTAATGGAGCAGTGATTAGAATTGAGATGGCAGCCAATGTAACAACCTGTGTGCAATAATCAAAAATTAAAAGAGAAAATAATTAGAAATATCATAATCTGTCATCATTAACTTTTTGCTCTCACAGTTTAGTAAAATATTTAATTTAAAAAAATTCACTAAAACAAATCATCATCATCATGACAAAATGCTATTTGATGCATTTTATAATTCTACAAACAGCGCTAAAATATGTGAAAGTTAGCCAATAATCTAAAATTTTAAAAAATCGTATATCAGTTTGTTATCACACCAGATAAATACGACTATATGAAATAATTTAGATGGATGTCAAGGTTTTGGGAGCATCAGTGATACCAAAAACTGATATGGCCATAGGAATATAATTCGCGAAAAATGATGAATGAGTGGGATAAAAATCGTATTACTCTGAAAATTAGGTTTTAGAACAAATGCATAATAATCTCTGGAGTTTAGTCATAACTAACAACAAGATTATTATCATAAACACAAGTATGTTATTGTACAACAATAATAAAGACTTGAAGTAAATAAATACACACCTGTTCTCCCCAACCGATTATTTCTGCATTTGAATTCAATTGCCTAGCTGTATCCAATGCAACTGGTCCAACAGCTGCTTGTACAGTAGCTTTCGGTAACCATGCAAAGGCTATAAACAATCGCTCACGCATATTTAATTTTGATGGTAAAACAGCCAGTATTGTTGCTGCTAAACGAGCAACCAGAGCAAGTACGAATGCAGCAACTCCAAGTCCTAATGCTTAATAAAATAGAAAGAAAATGCATGTAATTTCAAGTGGACGCACTGTGTAATAAGTAAACTTTGAAACCTACTACAATGTCAAAATGATTTCAACATTGATTGATTCGAGATTTCAGTAACAAATAACAATCTCCATATCTCCAAAATGCAAATTCATACAATGTACTTACTAGTGACTAGCTTCGTAATAAAAATGCTCGGCGTTCGAGTAAGAAGACGTGAACAGTGGAGTTCCAGCCTGTCGGGTGTAGGCAGTAACTACCAAAAACAAATGGTTGAGGTCGATTAAGATCCCTAGATTGATCAGAGTTAGACAATAACACTATTGGATGCTGGCACTTGCGCACAAGGTCGAAGCTCCTGGGTTCGAGTCCTGCAAATAGCAGGGTTTTGAATATGCACTGCCAAGAATCCTCATACCAGGACAAAACGGCCATCCAGTGCTTCCAGGTTTCTAATAGTGGTCAAAGAATGATTAATTCCTTGATTTCAGTATAAAAAAAGCAATCTCCATATCTCTTTAATGATAAATCATAATGAATTTTATCTGCATAGACTGAACTGATTTTCTTCAAAAATAGAGTTATTTTGTATAAACACACTTGATCTGTTGGGAAATAAATGAATACATCCTCCTTCAATAATTTAAGTGTCTATATTTTTGTTGGAAAACACGTTTCACAAATAAACAATTTCAAGTGAGACAATGTTAATAATGTTACGAATAAAATATTTTACTGAAATAATTCTGAAATTGAATTTTTGAGTTTTTACTGTTTCATGCTTTTAAGAAGTTAGTTTCATAGTTTGTAGCCAAAAATGTTGGTTTTCAACAAAACGGAAGTAAAGATAATTTTTTTTTATACAAACTATCTAGTGATTTCAACTTCTTTTTTCTCTACCCTGCATGATGTAATGAAATTTAGTTATTTTTTAGAGAATTTGTCGTTTTACTATGATTATTATTATTACTATTATTATTATTTTGAACGGATTTTCTATAGTTCAATAGAGTGCCAATCATACCTGATAGTTATTAGGATCTAACTATGTTTATTTCTATCAAATATTTATGTTAGTATCTTATCAAAAACGAAGTAATTCGGTAATGTTGTTAAACTGTTGTCTGAATTTGTCTTTACTAGTTTTTTTCAATGAACTGGATAGGATACACATTCTACAAATCATCTTACTGCATCATGAAACAAGCCCTAACTTGAAAATCTCAAAGCCACCTTTTAAAAGAGGTGAGCCAAGTAACATACTGGACCGAGAATTGGAAACACATATGAAAAGAATAAATAGAAAATGCGTAGAACTGGAAAAGTAGGTATAGCACGCAGTTGATTGCAGAATGCTGGTCGACTGTCTATGCTCCATTAGGGGTAACAAGAGTAAGTAAGTAAGTAAGTAAGTAAGTAAGTAAGTAAGTAAGTAAGTAAGTAAGTAAGTAAGTAAGTAAGTAAGTAAGTAAGTAAGTAAGTAAGTAAGTAAGTAAGTAAGTAAGTAAGTAAGTAAGTAAGTAAGTAAGTGTTTTAAAGTTTACAATATGTGTCATCGGATTATCTGACAATACAAAGATTATAAAGGATTAAATTACTACCTATATGCATAAATATATATATGTATATATATAGCCATAATGGAAATTGAAATCATATTATGCAAACTGATGATATTTGATACTAGTGACCTTAAAAAGTTGAAATAATTTTACCATGTTGATATCACATATACTTCAAGTCATCTAAACTAATAACAATGATAATAATAATAATCATAAAGACTGTATTCGAAATTTCTCGATGATAGTTTAAGACGATAAAAGAATATCGAAACTGCGCAAATCGCAACTATTGATTGCAAAAAAACTAGTTTATCTTGCCTAGTTAAAGATAATTTCTAGAATATATATATATATATATATATATATGCATATCGAATAAACGTAGACATACTTATGATGGACTTCATGGATTTTTACAGTCAATTATAATACAATACACATAAGAATCACACACAGTGAATAATGTTATAATCACACGGTGTAAACTCTTTTCAAAAATGTTTGCCTGTATAAATGTCAAACACATAACAGAGTAATAAGTTATCATTAATGAGATTTATGCTATAATGTACCATTTTCCTGCGTTTTATTCCGATCGCTCAAATTACTCTTTACTCTTAAATTTCTATGATAATATATTAACTGAAAAATACAATTAAGCATCTAGTAGTTATCTTATAGGTTTTTTTCTAATGTAGAAAAAGTGCAAAAGAAATAATGGAGATATATTTCAAAAATCAAAATACTTTTAACAGTTGTTATATATGTAGATTTTCTTCTAGTTATATAATTTTTCCTAATATCTTTAGGAAGAAAAAAAAGAAAACCGGCAAGCGTAGAAAACATTAACTTAATGAAAAGGAGGCGATTTTTATTATTTAGCAATAATATGAATTGGAAATTGAAAATTGAACTTATAAATATTTCATTTTAATGCAGTCTATTACAAACTGAGTAGAGTTTTTTATTGTAAATATTTTAAATGGATTTAAAGATGAATATGTCAACAGGCAATGCATAAAATGCCTATGAAAATAACAACGAAGTAAAATATTTTTGTATATATATGTTAATAGATCTTTTCTTTCACAGTACTTTAATATACTTTGTGATTTAGAAAAGCTTTCATTATTCTAGGAAGAATTTTCACCATTACTGCTAATACTTCTTGTTACGCGCGTCACTTGCTATGCTTGAAACTATTACGAATTTATCTTAGTCGATAAACGAGAACGAGACAATGAACCAGCGTTCGGGTAGGCTACTCTGATCGGCTGCCCCGAAGGAACTAACGAAATAGCGTAGAAAGTGTATTCTACAAACACCTAGCAAGCACAATGAATTAAGCACACAAATGGCGTTTAATTATACTCTATAGAGACGTCCTTGGGAGAGTCTCAAAAATAGCACACTAAAATAATTCAGTAACCAATCACAGCCAGGGATTTTCCTACTGGGAAATGAGATCTCAAGGTCAACTGACCAACTCATGAATAAAATTCAAAATTAAGACATTTATGAGGGAAGTTCTGGGGATCTAACGTCCCCAACACTTCTACTATCGTTACCACTATGTGAATTGAACTGACAATTGCGCCTCTGTGCTGATGTGTTATGGCAACCTAAACTTATGTACTCATGTACGAAGTTCTACGTTGTAACTGACTGACTGACTGATTGACTGACATGTGATTCCAAATTTAAACTATGCAAATGCTAAGCGATAACACTATAATTGATCAATTTCTTTTTTTATTGTAAACACAGACTACTTGTTTGACATTAAACAGTTATCCAATATAAGTTATCCTATTTCGTGTACACATCTATCCTAAAGTGCATGGACATGGAAGAAATCTTGAATTTTAACGATAAAAAATATATCACTATAATAATAAGCTTCAGTTTTGAACTGAACAACTGTTGATAAATATTTAAATACTTCACGTAAACAAAATAAGAAGGCGATTAGATTATCTTTCTCTCATTTCCATTCCACACCTTATTTTAATAAATATCCACAAAGAGTAATGAAGTGCTTAGTACGTATGTAATTAAATATAACATAATTGTAAATTTAATTCATTAAAATGTCAAGAATAAAACTCAAAACAACCTCAATAAGTAGCACTCACTGTCTAGATAAATATAATTTACTGGACAGTTAAATATTGAGTAATATACCAAACAAAATTCCAAATACATGAAATTAATTATTTTATCAGTAAGATGAATTGACAAGTATAAATGAATATAATTAAATAACCATCATCGAGTTATTTACTCGAAAATATACAAAAATACATACATTTAATGTATTGGAGAGAAATGTTTACTTTATGGCTATTTATCTTTTTTCGTATACTGATCCAATCATAGTGTAATCAATCCGAATTATTAAAAAACCAAAAGAATAAATCTAAATATTTGAGATTAAAATTAAACGTTTATATTGGAATCATCAATCATTGATTGTTAGACCACCATTAGAAACCTGGAATCACTGGACGGCCATTTGGTCCTGGTATGGGACTTATCAACAGTGCGCATCCACGACTCTTGCACCTCGCAGGATTCGAACCCAGGATTGTAGATTGATGAGAGTTGGACATAAACACCGTTGGATGCCGGCCCAGTGGTCCAGAGATTAGGTGTTCGCGAGAAAGACCAAAGGTCCTGAATTCGAATCCTGTGAGGTGCAGGAGTCGTGTATGCGCACTGCTGATGAGTCCCATAGTAGGAGAAAACGGCTGTCCAGTGCTTCCATGTTTCTAGTCGTGGTTTAACAATGATTGATTGATGAATTCAATGTGCAAAAAAGAATAATCTCCATAACTCTAATTGAAAAATGTTTATACACTAGTAATTATTTTTCTCACCAGCCTAATTGTAAAACGCATAGAAACATACTCTATTCAATTTAAATGAACTAATTATTTTCAGATAATTAAATTTGATTACATAGTTCGACTTGATTGAATTTGACTGACGTGATTTGTTTCTACTAACTATACATTCAATGAATCATGTAAAACTATCTAAAAGTGTAATCTTTGTTTTTTTCTGATTAAAAACAACAATACTAATTAAACAGACAAAACACCAAAAAATTTACGCAGGCAAAACAAATGAAGCTGAAAATTGAAGAATTAGAAATGCGGATAGATAGTGTTTATGCATCACTAATAGTGATAGATTCAAACAGAAAACTATGTACATGATCGATCCATATCTTCGGATTTGTTAAGCTTTTCCATTGTGTAGTACATGTGTACGTGGCAACCCATTGTTTACATTTGAGCAGAGGAAAATTATGCCTCATTCTAGAGTTGGTTAAAAACGTAGACAAACAGAATACTGACACATTAAAGTTAATTATGTGTTTTGCTTTGATATGAAGTACATCTTATTACAACAAGGATGGTTTTACATAGATTGCAAAGATTAAATTTATGTGTGTATATATATAAAGTTATTTTAAGCATTATTAACAAGAATAAATACAGATATTATTTCAATTTATTACATCCTATACAATGTGTTATGGAATAGGATGCGAATTTATTGAACTACCAATCAATTCTCTAGTGTTTAAATCATCCTTTTTTTAACAAAGTATTTGCTTAATTCTTTTTTTTGAGCGATAACATGCAAAATAAAGTTATTTCATTTTTTTTTCTACTTTTATTCATCAATTTATGTAAGTATGCTGCCACATTCAATGAATTCAAATAACTTGTTCAATAATAAAATCGATGAATTTGCAAAAATTGTTTGAAACAAGTTCCACTAGTGTTCAGGCAGCCAATTTAATCATGCATCAGTCTTTTCATGACAAGTGAAAAACTGCAACTTCATCGAAAGCCATAGACAAGCTCCAATTGTCATATGTAAATTTAGAAACAGTTCAAAAAATAAGTCACCATAAGAGTATACAGTGTGAAACTAAGTTTTTAAAGTTGTACAGTAGGATACGTTTAAAAATGAAAAGACGAACGAAACGTCACCGTTCGGTAATCTGCTATAAACAATCGAGTTCTTAAACATTGTGAATTTGAAACAGGTAATCTACAGTTTCTCATTAGTTATCAGTGAATTAACGCTTGGTAGTTTAGTGTCAGTGACATTTTTCCCACCGACCTCCTCATCACTAACTACTGTTAACACCTCATGGTGAACATTAACTCAAAAATACTAAAGTATTTTCATTATATAACAGTTTCTTGAATTGGGAATGATAGTAAACTTTATTAAAGTCGCCTTAAATTCGTAACTTATCTTGACAGTGCATATGAAAATAGTTGTAAACGTGGAGCTGATAAAAAAGAGAACTTTTTTTCAGCCTATATTTTATATGTACATAGTTTGTGACTCAAAATTTCATTATTTTATTCTTTGTAAATAGGTTACAATCTCAACATCAAATAATCTAGTGTTTGGTGCATTTTAAATGTCTACTGAAGAGAACACTGTGAAATATATGTACACAGTGAGAAATACAAACAATATGATGAACTATTTGCTATAAGCATGAAAATACTTAGATTATATCTTAAAAAAACAACTAAAATCATCAAGAACCTATCTTCTCTAAATATGCCTACTTTAAGAAAGTTGCTTTTTTGATATAGATATAGTAAAAATAATTATAACAGCAGGAAAGTTACCAGTTGAGCCACCAGGCAAGTGTAATAAGTCAACTTCTGATCCTATCAACGAAAATAGAATAGGTTGTACAAACCACCATGTAACCGCCATAGTTCTCCGCATAGAATTCAAACAAGCCAATCCACGTTCAACTGGTGTAGCTGGAACAACAACATCGCTGAACGGTTGTTCATGATGGTAAGGACTATCGAAATTTTTACTAGCATTATTATTATCTGGTCTTTCTGTTTCATTCGATGAGCATTCATCATTTTCTTCAACTTCTTCAACTTTTTCAACGGGTTGATTGTTGTAAAATGGTGAGTACTGATCCGGAAATGGTGCAACTTGGTTGAAAATAATAAGAAAACAAAATTAATCACCACAAAATAAACATTTAAGTAACTTCAATGATAAAATGCTACTTAACTTAATATCTTAAGCAATATGCACTAATACAATAATGTTTATTAGAAATAGTATAACAAGAATCTTCTGAAATTATATCGACTTACGAATTCTTCGCCTCGACTTGTTCATATGACGTAAAGCGTTTGCAGTAGACGGACTCCTTCCTCGTCGAAATTGATGAGGTACAGAAAATGATTCCAATTCATAGTGAGCGGTTGGTTCAGGTAGACTGAACCTTCGAGATGCTCTTGGTTTATAAAATGAGTTTGTCAGTGTTTGTTGAGTTTGTTGCTGGGAACTATTCTGTTGTGGTTGTTTGGCGAATGATCCTTCCACTTTTTTCTCTAAACCAGTAGCCGCCACTGCAACAGCTAACGATGGAAGATCTCCTCGCTTTCTGTCACTATCAGATGGGAAGCGATTACGGAGACTACTGCGGTTACTATGTTCACCTGAAGAATGCTGGCCATACTGCTGACGCAAAATTGAGCAATAGTAAGGATGAAATTCAACCAGTGATTCAAGTATACTTGGATTGTTTGAATCTTTTTGTTGTTTTGTCATACTTTCAGCGTCAGTATCCTCATCAGAATGTTTGTAATTTTCCTCAATAGATTCAAACTTTGAACAAACTGTCGTAAGGTTTGCTTGAGAATCTTCATTAGTAAGAACGGAATCTCTTGACAAAGACACATTATGCTTATTTGTTTGCGGATTTGCCGGATAATTTGAATTTCCATGGTGTGATTTTTGTACATCACTTGGTAATGGTTCCGTTAAACTACTTGTTGATTGTGTTAAACGCCATGGAAATCCACGGCGCCAACCAGTGGCCACGATAAAAGCTAAAGTTAAGCAAGACAATGCACCTCCACCTGGCAAATGTATTGCAACCGAACCAATTAACCCAGTTATAGCAAAGCACACCAAAAGTATACCCCGAATAAAATGAGAATGTTCCTGAAATATTAAAAAACAGATCCTTAGTCAACATGAAACTTTCTACTACTAACTGACATTTATAACAGACCATTTATTCGACCTAGGTAGGTTGAGAAAATAATTATCGAGCCTAATCTATTCAAAACTAAACACGAACTAAACTGTTGATTAGAAATTATTCAAAACAACGTTTCAAAGCCAATGGAATACATCACCTAGATGCATTTAGCTTCTCTTAGCCAGTAATATACATACATAATCTTGTTACATTTATGGGCGAAACTGTTTCAAAAGCTAAGCTATAAATTTGAGATAATCATCCAATCAAACTTACTAGCTAGCCAGTCACAGGATACTAGTCACAACTGACACTGTAATAGATATTTATCTACAAGCATAGACCATGTAAAGGTGAAAGATTGTTACACCTCCGAGGGTATATTTGATTTATCTTAATCACTGTGAGTCTTTGATTAGTCTTCACCGAAAATCGTAAATAGTTAAAGAAAGTTGCAAAAGTATCCCTATTATTTGAGATGTGTTACGTGACTGTTTTCAACTCCATGATTTAAATATTTCACTATCATCAAATCCTATAACTCATCTGCTGAATCCGTAACCGCAGCTTTGATGCATTACTTATCAATCGTTAATAAATTTTGAAAGGATATCAAGACATAACAAAGCTTTTATATGTAAACGTTGATCCTGCTAACTTATAAACAAAAGTATTACTTGCACCAAATCACCAGACTTCCTAATGTTCTTATGTATTTTCTGTTACCTGAAAATTTCAAGAATGATAAGTTTTTTAGTAGGAATTTGATAACAGGTGATTTGATATTAATTGCATTCCCGACGATTATTTCACAAGCTACTAACTTCATGTAGTTTCGCAAGTCAGACTACTCAGTACAAAATAAGCAAAAAAAAAATCAACCTAAACATCTCAAGTTTTGAACTTTAATAATAGTTTTAATCATTTATTTCCATTAGAAATATTTTATCAACATTGTAAAATCAACTGTAAATTGGCAATTGATATTACTCATGAGAACTTACAAGTTTCGGTGGAGGAAAGAAAAGTAATAATACTCCTACAGCTGCTCCAAATGATGCACCAATAATTGCTTCAAGTGGTCCCCAAAACAATGTATGCACTAGATTCCTATCTGTGGACAAAGCTACACCGAGTGCAACACCAAATCCAGTAATAGCAACAACATCATCTAAACTGGAAGCAGCCACAACCAGTGTAGGTATACCTTCAGCTACACCCCATCCAGTAACTTCTAGACGCATCATATTCGGCACTATAACAGCTGGTGAAACAGCTGCACAAACAAATCTATAATTATAATAAGAGTGATAAGCAAAGTGAATTATTGTTTATTTTAGACAAATGAGCGAATACATTTGTTAAACGTATGCCATATAACATAGTCAAGGTGGATGTTTGATTTTCTCACAACAGTATCATTGTCTAAAAGCCTGAAGAAAAAACTAACGAAATCAAATGGTTCCCAGAATTTCGAAAGCTTGCTAACTGATTATATTTTGATTAAGGAGTTTCAAAGAGTGTTTTAAGTTCTTTTTATTGGTTAATATATATAAAAAGCTGTACTGAATGAAAAGTGGGTGATAATCGTACCAACAGTGAATATACATAAATGTCATCTGCACTTCTTTAGAATAGTAACAATCAAAATCGAAATTATCAAATTGTATAAAACGTTTAACAATCAAATCACGTTTACACTAAATATTGATCTCATTTTTATTCAAATGTTGACTAAAGTAAGTGGGATACCATGAGTCTAGTGAGTTGTGAAACCTTTATAAATTCTTTGGTAATTTTGATGATCACTACTCTGAAGGAGTCCGGACGAGATAGCGCTGTATGGAACGTTGAGATTATCTAGAATTTCAATCGCCGAGATTTTAGTTTTAAATATTCTTCTCACAAATCATTCATTCTATACACTCGATACCCAAATTTTGTCAAACTTATCATCCAAATATTGAAGAATATTCTTACCTTTTTTACTATATTGTTAATAAAGCTAATACGTCAACAATAAAAATGTGATTGTTGACGAATTCATTTTGAAAAGCTACAAATTCAATAACATGTAAGAAAATTAATGTGATGAATAATAAAAAAGAAATTAGATTCCAAGATTTCGTCGACTAGACAAACTACTAGTAGTAAGAAGAAATGATTGAACTCTAAGTAGGTTCATTTCAACTAAATCAATGTGAAGTGAACGGCTGATGAATTTTCACAGCTTTAGCTTAATGAAAAGTTGCTGTTGACCTTAAGCCAGCAACCGATCAAGATCGAGGTTTAAAGAACAAGCTACGGGTCGAAAGTGGAGAAATTCGAACATTTCACTTCTTCTATCTGAACTTTGTGCTGATGATGTTGTTCAGAAGAACAGTGAAAGCTTCATAACCAAAATATCCAGCTGAGAGTACGAAACACCACCAAAATCACTATTTATTCTCCACACCTCATACGTCATAAAATAAACGAGTAACTTCAGTCTTTTAAAGTTAATTCTATTGATAACAGTAATCTTCTGATGTTGATTGAAGGATATAAAACAGGGGTCATTTAAAAATCATAACTGGATAGGAAAATAGGTATATTTGTAAGTGATATCACGGGGTCATTTGCCTAGACCACTACAGAAGATATTTTATGTGACCTAATTATGAATATGTTACAGTCGAAGTACACCGATGCAAATTTAAGTGACGGACAGATGACACAGCATGGGTTAACTTGTCCCATAAAAGTCATTTATACAGAAATAACTCATTGTATATCACTTTCTAGTATGACTCAACAAACTATTTATGAAATCTGTACTTGGAAATGCAGTTGGCAATGATCGGGCAGTATCATACTCCGGATTTAGGAACATTTTTAAGTTTAAACCAAGTCTTAGAAAAGCGGTATATATACATCTCTTTTGTTCAGAAGAATCACTGATAGCTCGCTGTACGGAGTCTGATTTGAGTGTACAAAACTGTCTGTCAGATCTCTTTATTCATCACATCCCAGTTTCTTCTGTATTTATGTATTTATTTGAATATTCCAATCAGCAGTTTATTTGGTAAATGATTACCTCCACTAGTCTGAAAAAATCAAGCATCCTCTTTAACCCTAATAGTTTGTCTTTTTATCCAAATATTTTTAGCTGACATTTGTTTACTTCATTCACTATCTTATTATTGCTTTTGTGACTATTATTATTATCATTGTTCGATCACCGTTAATCGGTTCCTAAACTCAATTTCAGTAATCATCATTTACCTACTTTAAAGGTTGCACCAAAATCGCTCATCGTGTATGTTTATGTTTAGGCGATGGTCGCACATATTTTATCCTCTTATCATTCTGATATTCTAATCATTTGATAAATATCTGTTTTTCTCACTCATTCAAACCGTTCTCAATGATTTTCATTCATTGTATGGATATAATTACTAACTGAATCATCGCGTCGATACGCTTACTAAAATATGATTGTGCTGCATTTTAAAAATAAAATGAAGTCATGAATCGATCAGTGTTAGACTAACAGATGGACCTTTCGTCTCAGTATGGAGCTCATCAACAATGCACATCCACAATACCCGCTAGTGAAAATCGAACACAGGAGCTTCGGTCTCACGCGTGAACGCCTAACATCCAGATCACTGATCTGCCATCAACAATCTATTATATTGTGCGACCTCATCCACTGTCTCTGGTGGGTAACTCCTTCACACCCGACACGATTGAATCCTAGCAGTCATGGCTACTCACTAGAACTCAAAGAAATTTCCTCACAAAGCTGGTTACTAGTGGGCACATAATAATTTTCACTAAAAGGTTGTGGACATTGTTGAGTTTCATAGAAATCGTTAATGGTGGTCTAACATAGATCAATTTGTGATTCCATTGAAACTCAACAATCTTCGCAACCTTGTAATGAAGAATAAAGTTGGCAAATAGTAAAATTTCTATTTTCTTATTATACAACTTCATTTCATCATAATGCAACTAATTAGGCTAAATTTATTTTGAATTCCTTAGATTGTATGAAAGTGATAATTAATTTTAATTGATTGTCTAGTGAAATCAACTTATTGTTCAACATAAAACATTTTTTAATAGAACAAACTCAGCAAAATCTACTACAAATAGAAAACTTACACAGCCATCAATAAAAATTTATAATATATTCATTATTTTGATTTTATCTTTATTTCTAATCAGTGTTAAGGTGTTGTCATTTCTGAACAGTAAACATGAAGATGAAGATCAACTTTTTTTTTAAAAAAACACATATCTGCTGTACACATCAGTAAATATTGAACGTAAAAACAGACTTTCTGTTTACTGATTACAGTAAAAAAAACAGGTAAATATTATGCTGAGAAAATAATGATGAAAGTCTTTTTTCACAAATTAACAAATAATTTGATTAGTAATACCTTAGACTCAAATGTTCGACAAGGTAAGACATTTTCCTTTTAAATAGATGAGTGCTAGTGAGAAATCGAGACCACTGGAATTCAACTGTGTTGAGTGTGAGAGAGTGACCCACAGGTGACAATGCATGAGGTCACGCAATATAGTGGATTGATTGTAGTCAGACAATGGCATTGTTGAATGCCGATTCAGTGATCTGGATGTTAGGCGTTCACATGTGAGACCGTAGATCCTAGAATCTATTCCTACCATGGGGTGTTGTGGATGCTCACTGCTGATGAGCCCCATATCGAGACGAAACGTCCATGCAGTGCTTGTAAGTTTCTTATAGCAGTCTAACATTGATCAGTTCATGATTTCAAATGCAAATTGACAATCTCTAGAACCCTTTAATGAGGATTATGCATATGCCTATATTAATTTTCTACCTTAGATTTTTTTTATAACTAATACAGTATGTGGAAATAAACCATGCATTGATGAGCCTTCATCAAATTAAATACGAACTAAATTATGGTAAACACAATTGTAAATAACTTTACTCAGTACTTAATTTGTTCCAAATTTTCGTTAAAAAAAAAGATATACAGTGAAAAAAGAATGAAAAAAAAAATGCCAAATTTACTTCTTCTACAATCATTGTCATTATTATACTACTTAAATAATATTTTATTTCTCACTTAATCATTTGAAATCTTTATTCGAACTACTTACTCATCATTGAAAAGCAATGAAATAAATGACAATATTGTTACATTTTAATGAGATAATCAATTTTATCCTGTAGGCGGTTAGACCATATATTCGTTTTTTTTCTCTACTAAAAGAAGATATTGACATTTTAAAACTTTTCATGATTATGTTGTTGTATAGTTGTTGTTCAGCTGAAGGAAAGAAATTTGCATAAACGGATATCACTATTGCCGACTATTGCGTAGGTGTATATCTCTCATGATTGAGTGAATTACAATAGATATAATGATTTTGTAAGTTGATTATTTTGAAAATAATTTATGTCAGAAAATTTCAATCATTCATCAGAATATTCAAGTGAATTAACGCTCCAGTTTACATAATAACTATGTAATATTTTAAATTGATTTGATTTGGATATTAAATATAACTTAGCATTATGGGCTGTGTATGATATAGTTCTACCAGTTGAATGTCATCTTTATAAATAATTTAAACTCTACTGTATGCTGCAGTTTTAAATTTCTCTTATCAGACTAAAACTTGAGGAACTTTTTTAGCCAATTTTATTAAAAAATTGAATGAATTTCCATTCCGACAATCTTTATCAAACTGATCTTTGTTGTTTTTGTTTCAAACAATCTTAAAACAATTTATGAAAACATTCCTAGTGGTATATAATGATCAATTGTTAGACTAACTGTTGGGGACGTTAGATCCTCAGAACTCACTAATTTTAGATTTTATGTTTTCCAGAATGGGCTGATCAGTTGACCTTGAGACTACATTTCCCACCAGGAAAATCCTTGACTGTCATTGATTGACGTGTTATTTTAGTACGTCATTTTTGTGGCTCTCCCAAGGACGTTTATGTTGTGTATAAATAAACTCGGTTTATGTGCTTGAAATCATTATATTTTCTCGGTTCTTGTAGAATACACTTTCTACACCATATCAAAGATTCTGCTTCAGTTAGACAGGGCAATGGATTAGAGTAGCCTATAGTGTTACTGGGTCATTGTGTCGTTCTCGTTTATCGACCAAAGTTAACTCGTAATAGTTTCAAGCATATCAGTTGACGAGCATAACACAACAATAAGTTATCGTGCTTATCTGAAGCTGAATTCAGTAAACAATAAGATTTTTGTATTGTATACTTCGAGTTAAAACTCCCCACGGCTGAGCGACAATAACTAATCCTTTTTAAATATATATGTTTACCGTTCGTTTGTGTTCCCATTAGTGGAAATGTTCGATTTTTAATAGGTAACCTTTTCTTCTCACCTTATACATATAGTACCGCTTTGTGTTTCTCAGCTGGTTATTTCATTGGCGTTTCGTTATTTTTCAAATGATTCATTCTTTCCAATAAAATTCTCAAATTTTGAATTTATTAGACACTTAAATTATGGTTATTTCATAACGCGTAACTCAAAGATCTATCATCATCTTGTCAGAAATAAATCCGTCGAATTTTAAATGTTTAAGATTTCAACTGTCTGGTTTGTGTGGTCGTGTCAGGAGAATGACGAACGAGTGTTTTGCAGAAAACTGAATTAGTGATTCTTTAGCAACATGATAATTAACATAAAGTTTGCATGTGAATAATTTGTTGAGTGTTTGATAAAAATAATCATGAAATCAATATTCATTTTACTGTGGTAACAGAATTTAAACTTACCCTAATATAGCCCCCCAAGACCAAGGCCATTTAACCAAAAAACGGCTAAATATCATCAAAGATGTTGCTTCTGTAAGACATGGTATGAATGCAAGACGAAACACACTACCACATACTTGTTTCAACGCTTGAGGATCAAGACCCAAACCAGCTCTTGTTAGAATTGTAGTCAAAGCAAGTTGTCTTAAGATTCCGGATAAAGCTGGATCTACCAGTAGAAGAGCAGCCAATTGAATACGTGGATCGGTTATATTGAAAGGATAATCCTTCTCACTGTAAGTAGAGGAATTCGAAAAACTAGTATTGTATCCATAAGGGACACTTCCGCTTGGTAGTTGACCTAGACGGTAAATCTGTTCCGGAATCAAGATACCACCAACATTTCTTAGAAGCAGTCCTCCAAGTAACATACCTAATATTGTTTAAAATCAACAGAAACATAAGAGACAATGAAATTCAGTAACAATCTGCTGGCTTTAAAAAATTGAATAATAACATCAGGGAAAATTTTTAAATTATGGAAAAGTGTGGCTAGTAGGGGGATCCAGGACGTGCGTCTCACCCTAATTTGTATTCGTTACCTGGATAAACCCTCCTTTCAGAGTTTGTGCTCATCTCAGGATTCAAACTCATTACTGCTAGCTTCAAATACCATCGCGTTATCCTCTTAGCTACTACGTTCAAATAGCCAGTGACTTGTGCAACGGGAATGAAAATGAATTCAATAAGTGGACAAATGCAATGGAAGGTACATACATCCTACTGACAAGTCTCAGATGGAGAGAAATGTGCATACTAGATTCGACTCCTAGCCATACTCCATCGATTCCCTGTCAAACTGTATCATAATGGCTATATCGAGGCAATTCGCAAAATATGCCAATACGCTGCCAAGACTGAACAAATTTCTGTAAAAAAATATCAGCAACAGAATTATCCAAAACGTTTTAGACTTAATTTTGAAATTATTACTTTTGCAGAATTTGTAATTTAGATGATATCAATAAAAGAACACTAAATCAAACTCATAATAAATACATCAGTGGAATAGGAATTTCTGAAAAGTAAAACAGGAACTATGCGTAGTACTCCAATGTTAAGGATAAAGACTATCGGAAGTGATTAGTCATTTCATTGATCGTTTTGAAATTGATTACTGAAAAACAAAGTCGCATATTTTGAGCTTTAAACATAGTCATTCACTTCCGACAGTTTTCAATGTTCACTATGCTATCATTTAACATTGATTACTTTTCTAACCCTCTATTTGACTAACTTATTTGAATGATGAGTTTTTTTCTTCGGGCAGATGTTCTACTGTCCAAAAACCAATGACCCTAGATTAGGATTTCATACTTTTCCAGCTCAGCTTGGTAAGATTGAAGTTATTTCTTCGTAAGACTGAATGATCTTTGATGTCACATCTATGAAACTAGGTTGCTTTTCTTTCCTAAGATTGAAAACACAAAAACTGGTCAAATGAAAAATGTTCAATATATATATTTTCAAAAACAGATTTTTTTGATCATGAGTATTTAAACTACTGAATTCATTTTACTATCATCATAGCACACTTTTGAATTAGTTACTTTAGAAATGTCAACTTAAAATATCTGCTTATTGAATCTTAAAATGATATTTGAAGGTTTGTTCATGAAAAACTGCATATGAAAGAGGAAAAATACTATTTTTTGGAGAAAAAAAAATCTGTTGACGTTATTTTAACAAAATGTATACGTAACATGATTGATTTACAAATAGACTGTGGATTAGAGGAAGTTTGTTGTGAAAAATATTATAATCTATATTGTAAACTAAATTAATGCACTTAACAGAGATAAAAATCAGATAACGTAAAAGTTTATCAGATAATGTATAAATGACAAAAGAAAGAATCCTAAAATCATTTTTATACACATAAAACTCCTCCTCTATAAAAGTGTTATTTTACTTGTACTCATCTTCTCGTTCAGTTGGTAATTAGTTATTTATGTTTTATAGATCACCTCAAAATATCATATCATATCATTTTTATTTCTATAATGAACTGAGATTGGTGGACAAATAATACACAAAACAACTTTAATCATAGTGAATTTTCAGTTTCATAATCATTAAGATGTTTCTTGATATCGTGATAGAATCACTTTTGTTATCTGTAAAAGTACTTATTAGCATAATAGTGGTTAAGTCATTATTATTATTATCATCATTATTATTATTATTAAAGAATATGTCAATCACTAAACAGGTTATCAATGCTTTGTACTTAGATTAGAAAGTTATCTATTATACTGAATTTTTCACTACTCATATCATAAACAAAATAATCTTTTCTATTTTGAGAGTATTGAACCAGTTTTTACAGAACTGAAGATATTGATCATATCAAAAATGTAGAAGAAAAAAAAAGTCAATTAACCAGGGTTTTAATCAAGAGATGTTTTTAAAAACTAAACAAAGTTATAGTTGCATACTAGTTAGTATGATTATTACATACGTTGTTTTAACTAGGGTTCATTGAAAATTTATGCGAATTACATTTTAAATCTATTTAGTGTTTCATGCTCAGGGTGTTTTGTTTTGCACCAACTGATCTCTAGAAATGTGAACAGATAGAAAACAGTGATTTGTTACCGGTTAAATCCATTAAAATCTGCAGACAGATCACGTGATCGGTACAATACGATTGAGCTACCGACTTACAATATTCAAAGTACGATGTGCGTATTTCATTTTCGAATATTACATTACAGAACTTGCTCTTTAAACATTATCGTAAGTAAACTTGACATGATACTAACTTAAATGATCTGATAAGAATTTTTATCCTTGAGATCACAAGGTGAGACTGATTAGACAACCATTGGAAACCTCAAAATATTTGAACAGTTGTTTATTCCTAATGCGGGATTTCATATCGGTGCTTATTCATGAATCGATATGAGAAATTCACGTGAAATTTAAAGTCCGAGAATTACATGAATGATACATATACACATTTTTGAAACCATGAATCGATCAATGTCAGACCACCAATAGAAACCTGGAAGCACTGGACGGCCGTTTCGTCCTCGTATGGGACTCCTCAGCAGTGCGCATCCACAACTCCTGCACCCCGCAGGACCTTCGGGAACTGTGATACATATACATTGATACTGTATTCTAATATTATATCGAGTCTAATTACAAACTTTCATTGCAATTTACTTATATAATTCCTATTTATTTGAGTTAAGTAGTTGGATTGAGTTACTACAGTAAATTCGCAGTATTCCACTCCTGTTATGGATAAATTTTTAGACAATACGGAATAATTTTATGCCAACGTTTGTTGACTATCAGATACTGAGAGTATCCTTGATAAAATGTAAGTAATAAATGTGAGTTATTACCACTATATTATAATCCGGTACACTACCTATATGCATATGCTACTTAAACATTTTCTTACTTCGAAATTACACTAAACTACAGGATAATAAACAGTTTCAGAAGGTAATTTATATTCAATATTGTAAAAAGAGTAAAAGCTTCTTTATACGTTTTTGCGAATAAAAACTCTTTCCAAAATTAGAAACAGTTTTCTAGTAGAACCAATGCAAATTTCACTTGCAAACAATTCAGTGATAAGGGAATTACTGACAGAATAGATTTTTAAAAAATTCCCCATTTGTTTATGTTCAATACGAATTGAATATATTAACAATTAAAAAAAATTCATGATATACTCTTTTGTCTACCAGCAAGAAACAAACACACCATTTGAAATTTATTTCTTAAACAATAAACAAACAAATTTATATCCTATTCAATAAATGCAAACACTGATTTATTCATCTCTACGTAAGCTTAGTTCAATATCATAAACTGTTTTTAAAAAAGAAATACTTATAAAATATGAAAATTATACATCAAAATTTTATTCGTTTACTCATTTGTTTTCCTGTTTCTGTGATAAAAACGCATGAACACATTCAATATAAAGATTTCTGAAACATAAAACAAAATTACGCCATGTTGCGTTTTCTAAAAACATTTTTTAAAGTCTACAATACAATATGAATAGTGCAATGAGATGTAATGCGACGTATGTATTATGGCGATACATTTGAATCAGTCTGTATGTTTAGACGTATTTGTGTGAAAAAAAAACATAAACGAATATGACTTATTGGAAGGCAAGAATAAATAAGGATAATATCGAGACTCAACACAAGATAATAAATCAATATTACAAGGGCTGAATCAAGGTAAGCACTCACTCAGTCAATCAATCAGCAGCCATGTAGAACTTCGTACGTACTTACATCAGTTCAAGTTGCCATAACACATTAGCTCAAAGACGTAATCTCATAGTAGCAGAGGTAGTAAAGGTATTATTCAAGAAGTAGAATCTAGTGAAATAAACTTAAAAAGAAAAAGATAAAGTGGTGAGGAGGTGGGAGCTATTTTCTTCATAAAAGCATAAGGGTGAATCGAATGCTCGTATAACCGAGGCTTCGATAAACCTAAGTATAAGCCTTTGAACAATCCTACACAGCACTGTGAAGGCTGATTTAATGAGATGGTGGAGAAAATCTGTAGCTCCAACTGATTTCATGTCAACCCAATGATCTATCCTAACCAAATGTTTCACAGTGATAGGGACAATATTTGTTAAGAATGTATTCTTAATTGACTATCATAATTAACTTGTCTTTTCAAATGCTCAAAGATATATTCTGCTCTGATATATGATATAATTCTGATAATCTTTATCTTGCATGGAATTATAGAAATTTATCAAATAGATTCATTCTTGTAAAATAGAATTTATCATCTTTGTCTAATGTTTGACCCATGGTATTTGAGATTTAAATAGAAAGCCATGAATTAGACTCATTATTGAATTGTTTATAAAGAAAAGTTTGAAATGTATTCAGTTATTTCATTAAAGATTACAAATATATTAAAAAATGATTTGTTGAGATAAATCCATTAAAAGTTAATTCAGATTTATGTACAAAAATAACGATAGATTTTTTAACAAGACTAAATGATATCAGTGTATTATTCAAAGATCACTTACACACAAGCATATTTATTAACATAACTGTAACATTAGAGATCAGTTTTCTACCTATCAGAGTTGTTTGATGATCAAAGAAGTAAGTGAAATATGCGTTCTTCTGGTTATAAACAACCAAGAGGTGCTCTACAAGGGTCGAACGTACAATGTTTAGTTCATATGGTGAATGCGACACTCAGATTATATAAAAGGGATTCAGTCTGGTTTCAATGAAGAATGGTTATCGTCCGATGACATTAATTTCCACTAGATCATTCCAAAGTTTATCTTGAACCTATTAAGTAGCGAAAACATAATCACAATTAAACGCCGTTTATTGTCAATCAATTGTTAATCGTTGC